AGGTCTGGCAAGTGCTGGAAACAGAGAGATGGCAAGGCCATGCCCAGGCTCCAGGGTCCATCACAGTACTCTCCTCCAGGTCTTGTCATGTTTTGCCAAAGCTTGTGCTGTGTATTCATTGATGCAAAAAAGCCAAGCTGGTGTAAGGGTTTTTCCCTCTGCCCCACAAAGCAGAATATCTACCAGCCTTGGAGAGAAATCTTGTCTGCCCTTCCCAGAAATGAGCTCTGTTCCCTGGCACATCACACTGATGGAAGGGCCCCTTCATTTCCCAGCTCTGGTAGCAGACCCATGGAAAGCACCCTACAGATGCTTTGGCATTCTGTGTTGGACACAACCTGCAGGGCTTGAAGCCTTGTTCTGATTGTTTGCCTTTTGTGCTACAACACTTAAATGTGCAAACTGGAATGGCTGTAATGGGACTTTATTTGGCCCTTTTCAGAGGGACTCACTGGGATAACTGTGCTTGTTAATAAATAAGCACTGAAATTTTGAGGACTTCTCTTTGGGGGTGTTGTGGGGCTCCAGTACAGGATGATAGGGAAGGACATTCCTAAGTAATTCAGCTAACATGAGCCTCTGGTTATTTTCTTCCTGACTCTCCTATGGAGACAGAGGACATCCCACAAGGTGGCTGAGAACAACATCCTGATCTGCCCATACCCCAGCTTGAACTTCATGTAGATCCAGTAACTGCCTTCAAATCCCAGTGCATCCAGCTTGACGGAATCCGAATGTAGACTCTATGACCATTAATTCACACAAAGTTATGCAAGAAAATTTTACACGCGAGGTTAACAGCACATGTACGACACAGAAAACTTCCCCAAATGTTACAGGGGTTTAAAATGTCATAAATAAAAGATTCCAAAGTTTTTTTAATTATTAGATTTCCAAAGCTGTTTTACATAATTCCCTGTATAATCCAATCTTAAACTCAGAAGACACTCATGCAGATGACATTTCCTCTCTGTTTTGAATAGGGATTATTTTTTAAGAGGATACAGAACCTGGAAGTATTTCAATAGGTCTGATATTTAAAGCATATTTAATGGCATTTATGTTTTAATCTTCTTACCTACTAAACTTTAAAGAGAGCTGCAAGGAATTCAACAGTGAAAAAAATAATTAGACATTAGTTAGTAACATAAAATGCATAGGCAATGGGTCAGTTGATTCATGAACAGGACGTGAACAGGACATAAACAGGAATGGCTGTCAGGGCAACACTGCCTACCATGCTTTCCACCCTCCAACAGTCACACTGCTCACATCCTCTTAACATCCTGAAAGTGTCCAACTGCTCACAGACTTCGGCTACACTGCTGGCAACAGGATGATCTGAAAGCAATGACCCAAATTCACCAGGTTCCTTATAGATGAGCAGATCAGAGGAATCTTTGCCAGCAAGAGAGGACAGGGGCAAATGAATAATTCTCGTAAGTCATTTTGCGTTTTCCAGCCAACACAGCACCATCTGAGACCTCTCGTGGGAAGACTACTCACCTTAAGCAAATCTCACAGAAAATTATACAAAGAAAACCTTTGTTGATTTTCTGAACTTTAGAGTTTTAGAAACAAAGTCTTATTTTGATCATACACATTCAGCTCTGCTGCCTTAAGGCTGTTACAAGTTGAGTGGCAATGAGTTACACCTTGTGCTGATGCTTGTCTCCCTAAAATTCACACATACTCATTTGCTGTTTCAGACCTGGAAGAGCCTGCAGACAACTGCCTGCTTGTTTTTCTTCTCACACTCTGCCTAACCCCAGGAGCAAGGAGCTACTTCATTAGGAGTAAAGGTATTAATTAGCAGTGAACCTGTTTAACCCACATGCTCTTTCATGCGGCTTCATAACGAATTCCAAACAACCCTGAGTTGTAACATGACTACTATTTTCTCATATTAGAGCAGATACTCATTCTCTTGAAATCAGAGGCAGAGGTCTAGCAAACACCTCTTTCCAAGGGGCCCATAGATTGGAGCCTGCTGAAGTTTCCCCACGGCAGGATGGGTGTATTCACACATGAGAGTGACTAGGTATGGCACTCCTGCAGCATTCTTTCAGCTTTCTGACACTGTGCCCTAAGCCAGCTTCAAAAGGTGAAAGGAGTAAAGGAGTAGCGATAAACTGTGAATAAACACTGTTTACTTTGTTTCCAGTTTCTCATAAAGAAGCACTTACATGAGTGAGTCTTGTTAAATTCAGAAGTTTCTAGAGCCACCGCCCAACACATGTTCCCTCCATGCAGAGTGTTGTGCCTGCCGGTGGCTGGGTGCACAGTGCCGGTGGCAGTGCTGGTGGCAGTGCTGGTGGCAGTGAGTGGCATGGCTGGTTAGGAGGCCCAGGAAGATCTTTGTTGAGTTGCAGCTTTTTAATCCCTGTAGTATCAGCCATGGCTGATTAGTTACTTATTTCACTGAGCAGGACCCAGCATGGTCATAGTGGGCACCAGCTTTAATCTCTCTAGTTAAGGATCAGAACTCACGTGTGGTTGTCTGAGGAGTCACCTCAGGCCAACAATCATAAAACACACATTAGAAAAGACACATTTCAAAGATTTGGATGCATAGTTATTTCTACATTAAAAGAACCAATTTTGCAAAACCTCCCTGTGTGGCCCAGACAAATTGATGTGATTACTTTCAGCTATCAGTGGGAACAAATAGGTCTTATGCAACTTAAGCACAATAAGCCTGGCCATTATTCTATTCTGAAAAATCAAAGATTTCTTGGTGTTACCATTACTATTGCTCTGCTACTTGTGAAAAACAATTCCAACTATCAGGAAATAATTATGAACAAAGTCCAGTTAATTATACAAGACATCTAAGCTGCCCTAATTAAGGATTGGTTCAATACTGTTCACTTGGTAATTTTTTTTTTAATTGTGAATAGATTTAGTAGAAGCCTGGCTGATAAACAAATAATGAGATTGGTGGTCCAGAAGGAATTTGATTAATAAAATTATTCACAAATTATTTATTTCCTCTGGTTTATATTGTTCTTTCTTCTACCTTAGAACAGGAATAGGAGAGGGATTGCACTTACTGGTTTCAATGCCTATGCTCCTTCCTGTCAGAAACACCCTACAATCCTGAGCCTGAGGATTAAAGCTTTATTTATGCAACCATGATAAAACAGGGTAAGAATTCAAAGCCACGCTAAGTCCCTGATGCAGTCACATTCAGGGAGATTCCTGGATCCATAGAAGCCTTATGGACTTTGCTGCAAGTACTCACCTTGCATAAATACAATGTCTATGGAATTTGTGCTCAACCATGAGAAAATGATCAGGGCTGGTAAAAACCAAAATCAACAAGCAACAACATCAATAGATCTGGTTCCACAGTTGATATTTGCCCACCATTTCTTCGGGAGAATTTACATAACTCCTGTTGACCTCCAAGTGTAGTGTCCCAAATCCAGAAATAGGCCACAAACAGGTGAAATCGAGCCCAGCTGCTGCAGCTGCAGAGATCAGACCCTGAAGGTGCCCAGAGCAAGGAGTGGGCTCATGGGCCAGTCAGGCAGGCAGGGCTGGAGGGGGCATGGGAAGGGCACTGGGGGAAGGAGAAAGAGCTTCTGGGTTGAATGTCTGTGGCTGAGTTCCAGCAAATCCTCGTGTATAACCACCACACCAACGATGGATGACTGCATTTTAACAGGAAAACAACTTTACATATGTTTTAAACTACAGTCTGCTAGCCTCGTATTTTAATATGAAACTGAAGCAATTTACTTCCTTTTTAATGGATTACAGAAGGAGCTCAAGCATAATGCCTCTACCCTTGTATGATCAATACTTTTAACACATTCATAAATTATTAATATTCTGCTCACAAAATTAACTACCTCTAAGATGCACAATTGCTCAATACTCAAAAGAAAAAACATTTAAGGAAGTAAAATGTTTCTTTGCATTTTTAGAGGTCTCTAGTAGCTTATTATATAGCAGGAAAGCTACACTGTTTATTATTCAATGTGGTATATTAATTCTAATTTATTTTACAAGTTTTTCTTCCTTCTGTGGCACCACAAAGGGACTAGGCATACAACTGTTTAATCAGTCAAAAGCCCATACCATGAAGACTGTCTCATTGCATTCTTCCTAGAAATGAATCTGTTTTCTAGACGGGAAGGCTTTGGGTAAGAGGAAGGGGCTGAGCTGATTTAGGAGTTGGCATGAGTCAATACTATTCAGGATTAGCCCATGCAACATTAAATAATATCCCAATGCTATCATCACAGTGCTCCTGCTGACATCTCTTCACCAATGCTGTTGATAAGTATCCTAAAGAGGACATGCATCTTCCTGTTAATTAATACCATGTGCTCTATTCACTTAGCTGCATTTCATTAGCTGAATTATAAAATTAGAAAATAATCTTCCAAAATGTGTCTCATTTTTAAAATTCATGTCTCACTTTCTCAATGAAGAGCAAATACAGAGATCTCAAGTCTCTGCCTAGGGATCACAAAATTTTCTTTTTCCAAGTGCTACTCTTTGTTTTCTAGTAAGTCTGACTTAGAATATCTTAGCTAAAAATGGACAATTAGTATCAAACTCTAAAGGCTAAAAATGTCTTTAAACGTTCCAACTAAGGGAGAGCAAATGTGCTCCCATAGAGGGATCAGTGGCTCAGAGCATTGCTTTGTGTCTCGGGGGCTTAAGGAATACTGCAGGCAGTGGAAGGATTACAGGGCTCTCCATCTTGTAGCTCTCTGGGAGCTATACTCATACCCCATTATCCTCAACATAATGAAATTGAATTAGTTTGATAAATGTATTTTAATCTAAAGAAGATGTGAATTATTTGATCAAATATATTCAAGGCAAAGTTTTTATAACAATGCTTAATAAACATGAAATAGCATAGATCATTGTTGGTAAAAAAAACCCCAGAAAACTCCAATTGGTGTTTTACACAGCTGTTCCCAGCCTGAGCAGACTCCTGGCTGATACCAGTGTCTGAGATGTGTTCATAAGCTGTTTGCACTGCATGAGCAGCAACTTCATTTCCATCTTCATCAAGATGTTAACACCTCTGCTGCAGTTACCCTCATTGTAAAGTTTAAAGGAAATTCCTTAGGTATGATGTACAAACTTTCAGCTCTGGAAATAATCCCTCCCATCAAGGCCTATGGCCATGGGAGAGGTACCATTGCTGTGAAGAGAGCTTTCAGTCCATAGGTGTTCCAGCCCAATGCACTGACTTTAAGGGGGGTGGGTGGGTTTTGTTTGGGTCTTGTTTTCTTTTGTGGTGAATTTTTCAACCAGAAGTACCAAAAAGCTCTGAAACTATGAGACCACAGAAACACTTATGAGACCACAAAAGAACTTCCAGATTTTTCCATTACCAACTATAAACCAGCCTTAAGGAGATTCCTTGTTTACCTTTCATGGATCCTTTGAGCTTACCCTTATTTGCTTAGCTTGTGACAATGCTGGGGAATCTTTGAGCAACATCATTTCAAAGGTTCTCTGGCTCTTTACAATCATTTCTGTAAAAAGCATGAATGTATATCTGAAAACAAACGCTGGATTTCAGCAACCTCTTGTGTAGCACAGTAAAATAGCAGGAAGAATAACGTAATTAACCAGACTGACTTCTCCAACTCAAATATGTTACAACCTTCATCACTACAAATTTCAATAGATATTGTGATGTTACAGTGTTTAAACCATATGCATTTCTTTATTCAAAGTCTAGAGGCAGAATAAATAGCTGCCAACACAGCCAGAAAGTCCCGGCAGACTTACAAGCAAGAAATTCTTATCACTAGTGTGAATGCTAAGGAAGTAGCTGTCTTTATACAATTAAAGTTCAAGGTTGCATCTATAATAGGCTTTTCAGCTGTATTTGGAAGTAATTTAAACTGTTACTCACCCATAACCTTGTTAGAGATTCATGGTGTTGAGTATGTAAAGCTGAAGAGACTGAAAGGGTTATAATACATTTACTAAAGGAAGAGAGGCTTGTAGCTAGAGAGAATATTGTGCAGGGAAGCTACAGGGGTTTGGAAAAGCTGCTTTTTGTGAGAGTACATTTCTCTTACAGCATCTGAATTATTCTTAGGAGACAATTTTTTGGAGAGGTATTCATCGTCATTTACCAGTTTTGTAAAGGTATTTCTCTGCCATCCAGACAAGAAATTAACTAATTTAGATGTGGTTAGTATTGGAATGTGTCCTTCTGTTTTGATCCAACTCTGGTAAGGATATGGGAAAAGATTTTCCTTCAGTAACTCCCATAGGTCTTAAAAAAAAAAGAGAAAAAAAAAAAAAAAAGCTGTGATTACCATCTGGTGTTCTCCATAACAGCCTCTGGGGCCAGAAATGCAACAAATTCTTCCAAGCATCTTCAGGAGTTCCTGTGGAACAGTGGTATGATTGGAGTTGTTTTCACTTTGATTACTGGATGTTTCTCACACTGTTCATCCAATACAAAGTGATGTGGGAGCTCTATGCATCAAGATCCCACTCCATTTCAGAAATTACAGAAAAGGAGGTAGAAAACAGAAAAATCAGAAAGAAAAAGGGAAATGCCAGCAGGCTAGCCTAGTCATTTAGAGTGACACAAAGGAAACAAGAAAAGAGAAAGAGGGCATTGAATGGGTAATATTAAGTAATGGCATGATGTCCAAATATTTGCAATGCTGGCTCCCATGCACATGGGCAAGTCATGCTTCCCATTACAGAATAATGGCAGGGCACAACCCCATGATTCAGCTGCACTTCATTCTGGCTCTTTTCACCACTGAAATACTTCTGTGGCTATTCTGCAAATTCCACTGTCCAAGTTTTCACACTTCCAGGAGGGGCTGAAATGGCATCCCTTGAAATTTACAAAATGTCATTTATAAAGTACACCTCACCCTATGCTGCTCTTTTCATTTAGAGAGTCTGAAAAGGGATGGAGTTATTTAAATTCTTAAAGGGATATTCGCACAACATTTTCAAGAAAGTCAAGAATTTCAAAAATCCTGCTACACCCATGTAGGCTTTTCACTGTACCCATCATATGGCTTTTAAGCACTTCCAAAGATCTTGAGTACTTTGTGACTGAGCACAAGGCTCAGTAAGCTTCCTGTATACTTATCTTTTGAAAATAGGAGGTCAAACCTTTTGAGAGTTGATTCTTGGTAAAGAAGCTTCTGTCGCACAAATCATAGACCTGACATAGCCTGTCAGATGCAGGTTCACCAAATGGCCCTTGGGGCTGTGTTCACACTAGTGATATACAATGTTATGAGCACAACTTGGTATTTGATTGCAGCCCTTATTGGCCTGTGAATTTCACCACAAACAGTTGTTTCCATTGTTGGTTTTGTTTTTTTTTTAATAGATATGTATGAGGCTACAGGTTCCTGAATTCATAAATTGTAAACTATATTAAATACACTGAAAATTGACTGATGATGACTGCTACTCTTCTAGGCTAATTTCTCTTCTAAACCATGATATGAAAATTCTGGCTAATGGGCTCGTGACAAGACTAAACAGGGGTAATAGCAGACTTAATCAAGAAAACAAATGGGATTCATTAAAAGCTGGCACTCAGCGGATAATCTTTGGAGAGTTCTAACCTCAATCTACGTGTCCCATCAAAAATGAAGAAAAAAAATCATCAGCTGACTTTATCTTGGGCTGTTGAGCCAATTCAGTGGAAATTCATAATGGAAAAATATTAGACATGTTTCTCTTTTTATTCTCTATCACAGAACTCACAGTAAAACATTAACTAGAATTTTCTTCATGCAGTTGAGAAGACAAATTAGATATAGTTTTCACAACTACCTCTAACAGGTAATTTAAGATAACGTTGCAGTACTATAACCATTTCTTGGCAAATACTAAGATTTTATATATTACATTATATATATATATAAAATACACCTACATATCTTCCATATATATGTATGATATACAAAGCCTATATAGCCTTTATATTTATATGTTACTACAAAACATCCCCACACCTACCCTGCATTGTACACTTTTATAAGCTAAAAGGCTAGAGATGGAAGCCAAATGCTACTCCTAGTTTCAGAAATATTCTCTCTACAATAAACAAAGTCAGTTCCCTAAGTATAACCATCTTCAAAATTCAGTTTTAATTCTGCAGTTCAGCCACCCATAAAAAGGGAGAAAACTTTAAAATTGATTATAACTCCCCTCCAATAGCTTCTATCTTGTTAAAATATGCACAAAATTACCAGATAAACAGCTAACTCTTCTAAGTAAATATCTAAATATTTCTTTAGCCAATATGATATTATCAAAAAAGAAGTAGTAAAATTACTCTTGAATTGCAAGAAATACATGTCCAGCTATGATCTACTTTGAATTTAAGAGCAAGAAAAAAATAAATATGTTTCAGATTTACTTTTTATTCACTTCTCTTAGAAGTGCAAATGCATGGAAACTACTGTCTGACATCTATGTAACCTACCTGAGCTCTCTAGGGGCCAAATGAAAACCTTACTGATGCATCAAAGACTTTTGATGGTTGGGGATTGTTTGTAATTGGTATATGTATTCAATCTGTTTTGTAATTCCCCCACTTTGCAAACACAGTTTATTTGCTCTCATTTGGTTCACTAACACTAAGTTCTGCAAAAGCTTATTTACTCTCAGTACCACCTCCTAATTACTTTAGGGAAGTCATATTGTTTTGTCATTAAGCTATTCTAGCTCTGTTTTGTGCAGGACATATTTTCTGTTAAAGTGTCCAAATTCTTTTCAGGTGGCTGCACCCTTGCAGCATGTGGCCTTACACTGTGTCTAAACTTGCTAAGGCAATTTGAGCATTATCAGTCTGCTAATTAATGTCCTATAATAATTCTGACCTTTAAAAATTGTCTTCTAGCACTGCTGTTTCACAGGCCTGCTGTGTATATACTTTTCCCTTTTTTTCTTGTGAAATTTTTCCACCGACATCATCTGCTCCCAGAGACATCCCAGCTCACTTAAGCATTGCTGACAGAACTTGGAAATAGTCCTGGCTAAAATTTTGAGGTTTGGTTTGAGGGTTGTTTTTTTTTCCTCTGTTTGCTTTGAAGGCTTGATTATCTCAGCTATTCTTGCAGCAAACACTCAGAAAGAGGAGCTTTTGTATTGTGAGACCATGCTGCAAGCTGGCTCCTTGGCGAGCCACATGCACACACAAGCCCTTCCCCAAGTCAGGGGATCCAGATCAAGGGCAAAAAAGGGAATGAAAACCTGAAAGCTGTGGGTGAGCAACAGAGAATCCATGCTTGAGTTCATTTTGTGCACAAGAACTGCTACTAATACCCCCAACTTTCAGGGATGGCCTTGATGCACAGATTCAGGAGACATTTATGGGACACAGAGAGTGCTCCAGCTCTAATAGACAACCCTTCTGCTTCTGCAACCATACATGCAACCCTTCTGTGGATTCTGCTATTGACTGTCTAGCCTTCCCTGATGAATATTAACAATATGGGGGTGGCTGCAAAAGATTCATTACTTAAGAACATAATGAGAAACTTTCTTTGCAGTAGAGTCATTTGGAGGGATACAGATGTGCATGCCACAGGTCATGCTCCTGTAATTACAAAGATATCTGATAACACAACCAGCCTTATTAGAAACCTTTTAATATTTTTGGGATTAATCCAGGAAAGGGAAACAGTGTGCCAAGTCAGAAACCACAGCAACAGTGCTCACTGTGATCCCAGCAGAGGAAAGGCTGTGCTTACACTTCACTTTCCCTTCTCAACAATCATGCTGAAGAAGAGGGTCCAGAATAATAAGCTGCCTTTCTTGGTAGGTTTGTAGGCAGCCTGGGGAAACACATGGACTAGAAGAGTGAAGGGACTTACTGAGGCTGGGAAGAGCTCGTGTCTTGGAGCTGAGGGGTGGCAGCAGACATCAATGCCACTGTGTCAGGGCTGTGCCCTGCGGCACACCCAGAAAGGACCCTGGCCTGTCCCAGCAGGGTAGCAGCAGTGCTGCCCACTGACCAGGAATCTGCCAGCAGCCATCAGGTCCCTTTTGTGCCCATTAAACAACATTTCTCTCTATAATCACCAGCTGTGTTCAGGTCTTTCCAAACAACAGAACAGCTGGAGCCAATGCTTTCACATAGTGCAAAAAAAGAAGCAGGGGAGACTGGCATAAGGGACAAGGATATATCTGCAGGGGAAAATGAATGTTTAAGAAAAAAATATACAAAAACTATATCATCCCAGTTGATGAAGTTTTGTATGCATTTATGTTGTCAAGCTCATGAACTTGAAAAGAGATGCAAACTTTGTTACAGATATAATAGCAGAGGTGTTTTTTTAAAACCTCCAAAACCACAGTGAGGATTTTCTCAAAGTCCTGCAAAGCCATTCTTTATGAACCCAACATCAGGAGTTTCCTGTTACACAGTTACAAAAGCAGTGAGGATTTTTAAGGGTTCTGCTTGTCACACCACCAGGACTCAGTGAATTGTCTGAGACATGTTTTGCAGCTGTCAGATATCTGTATCTCTATGACACAGCACAAAACAGAGAAGAGCTGTCCATAAGAGAGATCTACAACTGTATTCACCTGAGAACAAGAGAGGGCATGTGAACAGAAAGAGAAATATTCCAAAACATGTCACTGGAAAAGACAGCAAAGGATATTGACCCTTTCTGTAGTCTCACTAAGGATGTCAGCATGTTATCAAAGCTTAAGGAACAGAAACAGTCCTGACGTACTCCCAAGATATTTCTGTGCTTTTGTTACCCATCATGAACACACTTATCTAAAACCACAATGAATGGGAACATGCATACATGTGTCACACATCAAACTTTACCTGAACAGGTTTCCTGGGGGGTTGTAAAGACTTTCTTGAAAATTCTTTGGTACAGGTGGCAAGGTGCTTCTATCTGGACAGTCAATAAACCTCATTATCAAGATACTGGGTAAGCAAAAAAAAATCTCATCACAGAAACATCAAAATATGAAAGATGGTACTGACTCAGAGACACTGCATTGGCAAAACTACCTTGGGCTGATTCCAGGGGATACACAAGAGGTATTTTACCCAGTTCCATCTATACACAGCGCAGCATACTCAAGAGGAGGAACAGAGAGCACTGACTGTAACACTTGCCCACTGAATGGAATCAGACCTCTGATAATCAGACACTTGTTCTGTTCATTGGCTACAGGAGAAAAAGTAAACAAATATGTGAAACCCAAATAACAGAAAAGGTAAAACCAATATGAGAAACACCAGGAACAGAGAAGACAAAAATGTTGAAGTTCTGACCTTGACCAGTGTGTCTCTCACCATGGGCTGTATGTTCTAATGAATGGAAAGTGACTCTGCAGTCACAAGTCCCAGACCTTCATCAGACACTCAGATTCTCTGGTTTCCAGGATATTGCTGTTTTAATCAGTTTGCACTGCAAAGCTGCATGGCCAGTTGTGAGCCCTTGCTAGCACTCACAACGAGGTGCCAGAATGATCAACCATGTGAAGGAACTCTACAGTTGCACAAAGCCTCTGAGTAGGAATGACAAAGAGCACACTCAGCTTTCAGCTCCTTATCTAAGGTGCAAGAGGGACACGGGTCAAAAAGAGCACTGCACAGTACAGAATGTGTCCAGCTTTGGACTGCTGGCTTCATGGAAGTAAGATGAAGGTTTTCTATATCCCAGCCAAAAGCAGCACACAAGGCCAAGACTGCAGCTAGGTTTGATCATAATTGCTGCTGCTGGTTCTCCATCCTACAAACAGACCACAGATTATTAATGACACAGATGGTTAATGACAAACACCTAGACTATTCTGGAGAATGGATGCTGATCTCAGAAGCACAAAGACTTTCTTCCTTGCTGATTTGGAGAAATGTGGGGTATAACATAAAACTGATCCTGGGGTATAACATAAAACTGATCCTGCAAAGACTCTTCTGTGAGCAGCTTTGATATCCTGCATAGAGGTCTACCACGTACATTAATAGGTGCATTCACAAATACTAGCAGTTATCAAACACTAAAAACCCCAAAACATCTAAATGTAGCAAGAAGGAAAAAAAAGAAAAAAAAACCACTATTTGAATCTGAATCTTTCAGTTGGTCTGCAGTGCCTTGGTTTTGGATCACAAAGACACTAAGACACCACTAAGACAGAAGTCAGTGCAGTAAATACATTGGNGAAGGGAAGGGAAGGGAAGGGAAGGGAAGGGAAGGAAAGGAAAGGAAAGGAAAGGAAAGGAAAGGAAAGGAAAGGAAAGGAAAGGAAAGGAAAGGAAAGGAAAGGAAAGGAAAGGAAAGGAAAGGAAAGGAAAGGAAAGGAAAGGAAAGGAAAGGAAAGGAAAGGAAAGGAAAGGAAAGGAAAGGAAAGGAAAGGAAAGGAAAGGAAAGGAAAGAGAAAATAGAAGTGTGCATGGGGGATTGGATGACAGAGAGAGTGGCAGGGGTAAGGTGGAAGGAAATCCCCCATCCACGGGTCCCAAGGACATCTCCTTGCTCCCCTCCTTCTGGTCTTTGTGGTGGTGAGGGTCCCCTGCCACCACACCACATCAGAACATATAGAATCCAGTGAATTAATATACATTTTGGGCCAGGTGGAAACTCCCAGGTGCCTCCTGAGGGGGCCAGGTTTGACACTGTCCCTTGCAACACTGTGGATCTGTTGCATCATGGCCTGGTGCAGGGTCTAGGGACCCCTTGGCCTGTTCAGGGTGGGGTGGATTTCTCTGCAGAGAAATACAAAAACTGTATTTTGAAATACAGTTTTACTATAATAGGAAAAGGTCCTTCATGAAGACGTTTAAGCCATAAATTACAACAGTTCAGTCTCGACACCTATTTATAGTCTCTTCTTCAAATGAATATACTTTACAGGGAATAATGAACTATTTCTGTTTATAGAATAAGCTTATGAAGACATTTAGTCACATAAAAATTACATAGACAATTACTATTTTCTTGAACTGTAGTAATTGCTTGTGCAAGAGTTAAAACTAGTTTAAGATTTGCATCCACCTGTTCTTTAGGTAACTGGTGCATTTGTCTCAAGCTATTAAGTTTCTATTAGATATGCACTGCTTATTGTTTTCCAGGTAGTTTGATTACTTTTTGAAGAAGTTGTAGTCTCTAGAGAAAAAAACAGTCATGAATTTAAGGTGAGACATTCTTTAATCCAGTCTTTTCATATGCAATACACAAATATTACATCCAATTCCCAATTTTAAATAGGTAGAAATGTTTTCTGAGAGACTCATATTAAAACAGAAACCACACAGTTACATTCCCAGATCACATTATCAAAATGTATCCTGAATTTTTATAAAGTTAACTGCTTAAAGATGACAGTATTGTAGGAAGTTAGTTTGGTGTCATACTAGAGACAGTGTGATTTTAAAAACATTGCATGAGGTAATTTACTATTGTGTGCGAGTCTGAGAAAGTGAGAACTATAGTTCTTTATGTATTTAGAAGTATGGGAAATTAATTATCCTCTTGGAGATCTAAGAAATCATTTAAAGATATAAAACAAGGAATCACTTCATCAAAAGTTAAAATACTCATCTGAGTGTTTACCAAAAGAGTATCAAGAGATTTTTTTAATCCCTGATTGTGGGAGAATGGTTGAGCTCTGATTACAGAGGAAAATGATGGTATTTATTGTATGCTAACCTAAGATTTATCGAGTTTAGAAATATCTATCATTTACAAATACATTTTTAATCACTTTTGCAGCAGATTTCAGTCTCTCTGAAAGTAGTAGATGTGTGTACCTCTGGGATACTTGAGTACTTAGGCTTAATCTCAGGTATGGAATGTTCATCTAAGGTATGAGCTGAATGAAATGGAAAGCTCTATGTTCAAATTCACAGATTCAAATCGTAAATTACACCTCAAGAATAATAAACAAAATTCCCCCCCACTCTTATTCATATCTCTTCCTTCAGAGCACCTACTATGCCATACACACAGGCTTCACTGGAGTGATGTCAAATGGGTTAGACATGGCTGAAACTATGGTTTAAAGCATGATACAGGTTTAGAATCATATGGAGTTCCAGAGTTTTGCAGTCAAAGCAGTTTATTAGCAGTTCATGCTGCAATAACACTTGAATTTATTGTACATTTCAGGCAGGAGTTAACTTAATCCCATGTGCATTGCTGACCAGATCTGATAGTCTATTCAGAGGTGTGAACCAGTGCATAGCACTGAAAGATGACAAATAGATTCACAGAAATACATCACTTCTAAGTCTTCTACTTATGTGTTCTCTTTTCCCGTGAATTCATATCTAAGTAAAGGTAGCAAAAGACTTTTTTCTCCGTAAACTGTTCTAGAGTGCTGTTCAGCTAAGGCCTGGAAGCTTTCTTATTCCAGTGATTTTGCACCACACCTTTATTTAGTTAGTCAATACAAATGCACCCTTTGGATCTTAATCCTAGACACATTCAATCAGCTGCATCTGGTAGTGACAAGCATTGATAATGAAACTACATATAATAGCTGCAAATTAGATGTATGGAGAATATAAGTGCTATGAAAAAAAGTTAATAATAATGTAATTGACAGCACAAGGGGCATCTAATCCTTTAAAAAATTGTTTTATTAAACCTGAAAACAAGAAATATTCAAAGTGCCATATGATTGTGTCTGTAAATTATATATTTTTGTCCTATCTAAATATATATTTAAAATTACAGATTCTTGTATGTTGGAAATGGTCTTCACAGTTCATGTAGTCCAAAGCATTTGGACTGCAAAGCAGTTAGAGCAGGCTCATGGCTTCGAATTTACTTTACCTATGAAGTTATCCCACTGGCAGTTTACTTATCCCTCTTATTTGGCACCTAGCTTAGACATTGTGGGTAGGTTTGAAAGGAAAAGGAAAAAAGAATTTTAATGGAGCAAACTTCTGGAAACCAGGCATTTTTATTACATTTTGTGTCTTAGAGTGGTTTTCTCTAATTTAGCGGCTAGGACTACCTGCACACTCCCCCTTTGTCTTTCCCTGACCCCTTCCTGAATGTCTCATTAACTGATTGCTTGTCATGACATCTAAAATGAATTGCTTCAGCCCTGGTTTGATTAAAAACACAAGGGTTAAGCATCTTTTTCTGTGACAGGTGGCAATCTGTGCTTTTTTGTGTGCTTGTGCAGATATCTATGCACAATTCCAGTTGCTGCAAAGGCAGAACAGGTGTCAGGAGCATGTGGTGGTGATGCTGGTCACAAGGTGTGGGACTTTATTGGGGGATGCTCTGGTGAGGCTTTAGTTTCATGAGATCTGGTGGTGTATGGCTCACTCCTAAGGGGCAGGCCCCTGAACACAATTGCTATTAGCAACTTCATTGCCTTCTAGCACTGTGGACAGTGCCTGCAAACAAACAAGTATGCAGTTTGCATGGCAGAGGCTGTGGAATTTAAGGTCCTGAGAAGAGTGAGCAAGACAATACCGGAATTACATCTCTGGACTTCAGAAGAGAACATTTCAGCCTGCTCTGGGAGCTGTGTGGCACATCCCATGGGAAACTGTCCTGGAGTTCAAAGGGGTCAGGGGAACTGACTCATCTTTAGGCATACCTTTTCAGGGCGTGAGAATTGACCCTTCCTCACAAAGAGGCAAGGCAGAAGGCAAGTGTGGATGAACATTGAGTTCCTGATTGAGCTCAGACATGAAAAGGAGATATGCAGATAGTGGCAGAAGAAACAGTCTTCATGGAATGGATGCACAGACATTGGTAACTCAAGTAGAAATGAAAAAACAAAGGCCAAAGCTCAGCTGGATTTATCATCCTGGGGGCCTTTTCCAAACTAAATGTTTCTATGATTCTATGATCTTTCTGGGCCCTGAGGTGAGACTGACTTCCCTGTATTTCCCCAGGTCTTCTTGGCATCTATTTTTAAAAATAAATTGTCTCAAACCTGTACTGC